CCTTGTTCTGCCGGCGCAGCGCCCGCTCGAAGCCCAGCTGGAAGATGGTGCTGGAGGCGGCGATGGGAGCTGGGCACGGACAGGGAAGGGTGACCGAGGCGCCCTGGGCAGCACGAGGGACGGGACGGACGCGGGGCACGAGCAGCAGAGCGCGGCCCCGGCCGTGAGCACGGCCGCGGTGCACAGACCGCCGGGGCGCCCCACGCCGCCCTGCGACCCTGCACCCACCGGGGACCCCCGGTCCCCCACACACGGCGCCCCCCGACCACGGGACCGATGCCCGCCGCACCGGGGCCCGCGGGCGCCGACACTCACCGGGCAGGGGCACGGCGCGCCCGGCGTTGGCCTCTCCCAGGGCCCGGCGGCTGCCGGCACCGCCCGCGGGCCCCCGGCGGGGTTTGCGCACCACCTCCCAGCGGCCGCGCCCGCCGCCGGCCGTGCCCGGGGCCGCTCGCGCCGCCGCCATCGGGACCCGGAGCGCCACGGGCGGCGCCGGGCTGGGGCCGGGGCGCGTGCGCGCGCCGCCGCCGCTGATTGGCTGCGCCCCGCGAGACGCGCCGCTCGTGCCGGCTGCCACGTCCCAACCCCGCCTCGCCGGGAGGCGGGAAAGGGCGGGAAAGACCACGCCCACAGAGGGCGGGGCCAGCGCGCACCGCCTCCCCAGAGACCCCGCCCACAGCGGGGCTGTGACGCTGCGGGGGGATTGGGGGAGGAGCTACAATGATGACGCAGAAGAAGAGGGCGTGGTCAGGAGAGGGGGCGTGCCCAGGGCTCTCGCGCCACCGCCTGAAGAACGACCCCAGCCCGGCGGGGGCGGAGCCTTGCGGGCAGGTGGGGCGTGTCCATGCAAACGAGGCGGCGCCGCGCGGCATGCCGGGACGCAGCCCGCGCCAAGAGCGCGCTGCCCTCGCGCGTCCGCGGGCGCTGCGCGGGCCGGGCCGTGCGGGCCGGGCCGTGCGGGCCGGGGCGTGCGCGGGGCCGGGGCAGCGGGGCCGGGCTCGGGGCGGCCGTGTGCTGGCGAGGCGTGCGGCGGGCGGGCGGCGCGGGCGGGGCGGGAGGCAGGCATACTTACCTGGCAGGGGAGACACCATGATCAGGCAGGTGGTTTTCCCAGGGCGAGGCTCATCCCTTGCACTCCGGGTGTGCTGACCCCTGCGATTTCCCCAAATGCGGGAAACTCGACTGCATAATTTGTGGTAGTGGGGGACTGCGTTCGCGCTCTCCCCTGGTCATGCTGGTCAAAGAACAGTTTAACGCCGCGCCTTGCTGCGCTCGATATGTCAGGAATTCTCATTAGTCCGTGCTGTGGTAACTCTGCCCGTCCGGCCCGGATCGGGCATCGCCTGAAGGCTCAGGGACCTCAGCCCTCCGCCGCACCTCTGTCCCGGCTCTGCCTCAGCCGGGTGTGCCCAGACCGTGCCGAGGGAAGCGGGACCGGCGTCTCGCCCCTTCCCCAGGGGTGACTCCACGGTGACACCGCGGTGCTTCCCTGCTCCGCAGACACGGCGTGGGACAGGCCGGGATCATCCGGTCCCCCGAGGCGGCCGCCCCGAGCCTCCCTTTAGGGATGCGCTGCCCTTTCCTGTGTCCCCTGGATCCCCGGCTGTTCCCGAGCCTCTCTGCCCTCCGAGCCTTCCTGACGTGCCGGGGCACTCAGCGGCTGCCTGCACGATCCCGCAGCCCCTTGTCCCCGTGTCGCCTGCCCCGTCCCGATTCGGTGCCAGGCACTCCAGCCTCCGCCCCAGAGAGCGACCTGTGTCGGTGCGGGAGCGGCTCGGTTCTGAGACAGAGCGAAAATTTAACAGGGTAGAAATCCATTTGGATTTGGGTGAAATGTGCCACTTTGAACTTGCTAAATGTGCTGTTTAGTCTGGTAACTGTAGCACTAACAAAACTACCCCAGCTAAAGAGAAAGAATGCAAATTTCCACACTAAAAAGATAAGAAAGACTCCTCGCACTTTGAAACAGACAAGGCAGTGACCCAGGAGTTCTTTCTGAACTTTCTGACAAAAACTGAGTACAAGTGTAACCAGCTGTAAGTGTAACGCGAAATCAGCAGAATGAATCTGCATGAACCTATTGTGAAACTCTATGCTTACGGAAATTAGTAGGCGTAATAAAAAAGGATCGGGAGTTCTCAGAAGTACGCATGTCCATTGAAGGGCAATGAGTCCCCAGCTACGTCCAGCGCTATGAATAAACAAACATACCCATTCCCTACAAATCTTTATTGGAAGTGTCGTATTCTGATTTTTCATCCGCGTTTCAGTTCCACGGGGTACCAAACGAAGAACGGGCCCACGGCCGAACCGAACCCATAAACTCCCCAAGCACGGGCAGAGGTCTTTTGTTCATAGTGCTTTGATCTGTTTTTGACCAGCAAGACCAGGGGAGAGCGCGAACGCAGTCCCCCACTACCACAAATTATGCAGTCGAGTTTCCCGCATTTGGGGAAATCGCAGGGGTCAGCACACCCGGAGTGCAAGGGATGAGCCTCGCCCTGGGAAAACCACCTGCCTGATCATGGTGTCTCCCCTGCCAGGTAAGTATGCCTGCCTCCCGCCCCGCCCGCGCCGCCCGCCCGCCGCACGCCTCGCCAGC